TGTCTGGGCACTGGAGCTGCAGCAGGGTGGGGGGGCAGGAGCTGTTTGGGTACAGCAGGAAGCTCCACAGCCGAGCCACTCCCTGTGCTCATGGAGGATGGACAGCCCCAGGAGACACTGCCCAGGGGAGGGGGAGGCATGGCTAGGGCACCTGGCACAGAGCTGAAGCTCCAGCCCAGGGCAGAAGGGTGCCACAGGCCTCCCCTCCTCTTCCCTCCAGCCTGTGCTGGGGCCAGAATCACTCCACCATCACCCACACGAATCAGGACCGCCATACTCAGGCCCAGGCAGGACTGGGGCAGCTGGGGGCCCTCTCTGGCAGGGCTGGGGAGAGCAGGGGGCTGCGGGTCAAGAGTGAGGGTCACCAGCACGACTGGGGGGCAGGGGGCTGCAGGTTGGGAGTGAGGGGCACCAGCAGTGGGGGGAGGGGAGCCACAGGGGCTACAGGTTGGGAGTGAGGGGTACCAGCAGGCCTTGGGGAGGGCAGGAGCTGTGGGTCAGGATTGCGGGGAACTTGCAGTGCCAGAGGGCTGCAGCTCAGGAGTGAGTGGCAGTAGCATGGCTGGGCAGAGTTGAGGGACTCTGGGTCGGGAGTGAGGGGTACTAGCAGGGCCAGGGGTCTATAGGTCAGGAGTGAGGGGTAGGAGCAGACATGGGGGGCTGTAGGTTCGGACTGAGCAGCACCAGGATAGCCTGGGGGGCAAAGGACTGTGGGTTGGGAATGAGGGGCACCAGCAAGGCCAGGAGTCTGCAGGTTGGATGTAAGGGGCAGCAGCAGGGATGGAAGACTGTAGGTTGGGAGTGAGGGGCAATGGCAGGGCCAGGGGGCAGTGAGTTGGGACTGAGGTGTCCCCCCAGCAGGTGTACTCTTTTTTGGAACTGGAAATATGACAACCCATGCTGACACTAGATTTATTAGCAGCTGGTGCAGATCATGGAACATGTTTTGCCAGCATGAAATGCCATTTGATACATGGACCATTGCCTTTAAGAATTCACAAAGCAAATGCAAGAATTCATGTAGCTTTTGCAGTAGGACAGGGAAGTTCTGGACTTAGTCCAGCAGCAGCTGGGAGGAGGCCAGCAGCAAGTGCTTCAGTGACAGCAGGAGGCTGACTGCCACCAGCATTCTTTGGCAACAAGCTCATTTTTTAGTTATCAGAATGACACAGGCTCAGTTCTGCTTCTGAACTGCTCTATGAGCTCCAAATCCTTGGGCTATGGAGTCAGACCCCATTTAGCAAGGTCCTTCAGCACATACCCCCCTCAAGCACACAGGTAGTCCAAATGATTTCAGTTTAAGTTTAGGTACACACTTAAGTACCTTATGAAGTTGAGGCCTACATGAAGACCTGATCCAAAGTTCAATGAAATCAAAGGCAAAAGCCCCTGCTAATATAAGTGGGCTTTGGCTCAAGCTCTTGTTAATGCTACTACAGCTATTCAGCAGGATCCTTCTACATTTGGGTCAGTTTCATCTGGTCATAATCTGGATTATTCAGACTTCAGAAAGGAAGTACTTTTTATTCATTGAAACTCTATATTGTTAAAAGTGGGAATTTTTCTGTGCACTTATTGTAAATTCATGTTGCTAGAAGTAAAAAACCATCAACTTCAACATTAACTTAGAAAGTCTTTTGCTAAGGAAAATTAGAATCTGATTTTTTTTGTGTAAAGGAAACTTTTTGAAAAGTCATTTTGTTTTGTACACATCCTAAATGTAAGAAGCAGATACCTAGGGGGAGCATTTTCTAATGTACAGTTAGTCTATTAATGGTAAAACAATTCTGTTGTCAGACCTGAGGCAAAGGAGGACCCTTTTTAGAAAAATTAAAAAATATGTACTTCAATAGTGCAAACAGCAACTAGGTGTTCTTTTCAACCAGCAATGAAATCAAGGTAGCTGCCTTTGAACAGAACATGACAGAATTTAGTGTACTGTGCAGACAACGTCCACACTTGCTATTTAGTGGACTTGTGAGTTTTTGCATTTTATAACCAAGACTGTAAAATGCAAATGTATTCAAATGAGTGGAGAAGTCTGTTTCGGTAGCACTTGCTTTGCAAAAGTGTAAATGATAATGCAAGGCTATGGGGAAACCCAAGCTGTATTAAGTCTACTATCCAAAATCAGTGACCACTTTAAAAATACTCACTTTAGTCCTTCTAAACATGGGAAGAGACAAACACATCCCTTTGTTCCCAGAAAATGTAACTAATTTTCCAATGCTTTTACATGCCTCAGGCTCACACCAAAATCAAAAAAATCCTCTTCAGTTTATGACCAGGCAAGTTTAAAAATGAAATGCTGCAATGAAAATGCAAATGACAGAACAAGGAACAATGGTCTCAAGTTGCAGCAAGGGAAATTTAGGTTGGATATTAGGAAAAACTCTCTCATTGAAGGGTAGTAAAGCACTGGAATGGGTTACCTAAAGAGGTGGTGGAACCTCCATCCTTGGAGGTTTTCAAGGCCTGGCTCAACAAAAGCCCTGGCTGGAAAAATCTAGTTGGGGATGGCCCCACTTTGAGCAGGGGTTGGACTCTCCTGAGGTCCCCTCCAACTCTAATTTTCTATGATTCTAATGCTATTAACATAGATGCAAGAGGCAAGGATGTCTTAAGGTGATATCTTTTATTAGATTAGCTGAGTAGTTGGGATTGAGTTGGACAAGCTTTCAAATACAAGACACTCTTCATCAGGTCACATTAATATAGACTGCACTCACTGTAGTAACTTGAATGAAGGCTCTAAGTCTGGGCACAGCCTAAATGGATACATGTAATGGAACAGTTTTGCCTCTCTCCTGTAGGTGGTAGCAGTGTCTGAATATCGACCTCCCAGGATGGATGAGTTGCTGCCACGCCAATGTGATCTCATCCAAGTCCTGTACAGGCAGGATGAGGTGAGGAACTTTGGCTGCCTGCAAAAGAGCCAGCAGCGATTCTTTTCTGGCAAATGTGCAGCCAAGCACAGTAAGTTCTAAGATATGATTTTATGACTCTGCCCTCTCTGTGTCAGCTGCTCAGTACATTCTGCCATTGCTGCTTTCTACTTGCACAAAGTCTACACTGAAATGGGGCATGGTGCTATTTATCTAAAAGTTTCTTCCTCATTAAAAACTACAATTAAAACAAACAAGATAATGATTGGGAGAGTACAGAGCACACTTCCCTGAAGCCATAAGCTGAAGCAACAGCATTTGTGTTATTCAAAACTGCCAATTCTTCCATTTGAAAGGCTTAAAATGTGGTACAGATGGATCCAACTCTGGGTTTTAAGACCCTGTGTTCAGTTGCTCACGTTACCATCTCTAATTCTTGTTATGTGCTGGCTGCCAGCATTGAGCTCATTGTTTTAACTGCAGCCATTTCTGAGAACAAGGCTAAGAAAAAATGTTGTTTTGCCACAGTAAAAAAATCCCTCCTGTTTTGGAGCAGGAACTTGAAATTTGGCAGGGAGGTAGCCTTTGTGTCTTTTTGTCCTCCTGTGGAAATACATGTGAATTTGGCTAACTTCTAATTCTTTTTAAAAAAATCATGCTTTTCATGTACACAGTAGAGAGCTGAGGTCTTTAGCTGATAAAAATCTCAGAAAGTCCCATTTTGATTGAGCATGCTCCACCTCCCAGTCCTGTATGTGACCTCAGTGCTCATGTGTCATAATCCACAGAATAATTGAATATGCTGCATCCCAGGGCAGCGGGGCTCAGAAGGGCTTTCTTTATAATAGTTAATTTGGACTAGTGAGGCTTAACAAGGGAAGTGAAAGCAAAGAGCCTATTTTCAGTACTCTCATTGATACTGTCAGTGACATTCTGTTTGAGGAACCCATTTGGTGCCAAAGAAGGATGAACAAGGGTCAGATATATGCTTAGGGGGAAATGAGGGGAAAAAAACCAATCCAGCATAAAATGATATGGATGCTAGCCCAAGATCAGATACCTATAGACACCTGTTAAATATCATTAGTACTTAATATGCAAGATGGGAGGAAGTGCTTTAAATTAACATCTAATCTCATGGATGTAGTCAGAATGCACTACACCTAACGATATTATGGGAGACATAGATCATAATTAGAGCCTTTATCAAAACCAGATGCTACCATCTGGAAGCAGACCACTGGGAACCCTGATTGCTATGCTGGATAATTTATTTGTTATGTTTTCTAATATTTTTTTTTCCAGTTGTGGTGGTCTCATGTGTCACACTGTATCATGATGAATCCTTGATTTTCCTGTAGGTTTCTGATGTTAACTTAATTGAAAACTGTAAAACAGCAGCAGAAAAAATGACAATTGGGCACATCTACACAAGACATTTACTGTGCAGTCACCTAACTGACTGTGCAGTAAATGCCTCAGTGTCTATTACGTGTGCCCCTATTAGGGCATACAAATCTAATAAACTTTGCAGAAGGATAGCGCTTGTAAATACTAGTCCTACCCTGCTGTGGAGTTTTTCCATGCACAGTAGTGCACGTGTAGACACTGAGTGGCTGGCTGGGACATGAAGGTGCTTCAGCACTGGGGCTGCCTGCTGGCTAGCCCCGCACCGAAGCACCCTTGTGCCCCAGCCAGGCCCTCCACAGCACATTGAATCAGGTCAGAACAGCTCCCAGCTGGCAAGCTGACCCCCTGGGGCCTCCTACCAGCCAGGGCTTCTACAACCTGTCTCAATGTGCTGTGCTCTAGGCGTACATGTAGACATGTGTCCGGGAACTTCCCAGGAGCTCTGCAGTTTATTACTCCCCCTAATGGTATGTGTAGAAGCACCCAATGGGCGCATCTACACACGTCGCTATGGCATTGTTGTTTCTGTGCTATAATTTAGTACTTCCTTTTGGAAGTACTAAATCACAGTGCAGTAACAGTCCATACTACACCATACACGCAGCACATGGTTATTTTTAGTAACTACTTTGCCATAGTGGCGTGTTATACTGGGGGAGCGTGTCATAGAATCATAGAAGTAGGGTTGGAAGGGACCTTGTAGATCTTCAAGTCCGACCCCCCACCTGGGCAGGAGAAAAAACTGGACTCAGATGAGTCCAGCCAGGTAGGCATCAAGCCTCTTCTTAAAGATCCCCAGGGTAGGAGCCAGCACCACCTCCCTAGGAAGTTGGTTCCAGCTCCTAGGCGCCCTAACTGTGAAGTAGTTCTTGTGGATGTCTAATCTAAACCTACTCTCTAATAATTTGTGTCCATTGTTCCTTGTCATGCCAGTGGGCGCTAGGGGAAACAGTGTCTCCCCTAAACCCTTCTGGTCTCCCCTAGTGAGTTTATAGACAGTCACCAGGTCCCCCCTCGGCCTTCTGTTGTGGAGGCTGAACAGGTTTAGGTCCCGCAGTCTTTCAATGTAGGGTCTGCCCTGTTGTCCCCAGATCATGCAGGTGACCCTCCTCTGGACCCTTTCAATGTTGTCCACATCCCTCCTGAAATGGGGCGCACAAACTGGACACAGTACTCCAGCTGCAGCCTGACCAGTGTCACATAGAGGGGGAGGATCACCTCCCTGGCTCTACTTGAGATGCACCTGTGGATGCACGACAAGGTCTGGTTAGCCCTGCCAAGCGTGACCTCGCATTGTTGGCCCATGTTCATCTTGGAATCAATAATGACTCCAAGATCCCTTTCTGCCTCCGTGCTCTCAGGAAGGGAGCTTCCCATTCTATAAGTGTGCTGCTGGTTTCTACTGTCACTATGGTGAAGTAGCTGCTGGTCACATGTAGATGCCTGCAGATGTTATGTCACCATAGTGCATTGCTACAATGATGTATCATCACATGTAGATGTACTTAATTAGTAGGAACAGAAAAAGGCTTGAAAAGAAGTCCATATTCCTCTCACTGGATGGGCAGATTCTGTATGTGAAGTCAGATCCTTGGGTCCTTGAAAAAGACTCCCTCAGAGAGTGGGATCACGTGCATACAGAATATATAAGACACTGAGCACCCATTTTTGGTTATAAGGCACATTTTTGTTTGGGACCAGTGCATATGAATAACACCCAGCCATGATGCCTTCTGGTTGTCAAGGTGCCTGGGTACAGAGAGCTTCTGTGGCTACTACATAACTATCACTTCTGGCCAGACTAGCTCTGATAGTGGATCTCTTGGGAGCTCAAGAACTACACTTGTCCAGCTTCTGCTTAAGGGAGGTAGGAAGAATGCTCCTTGTAGCTTCCTTTTCTGTCCCCAAAACAAGGGCACAAAATACAAGCGCAATGAAACACTAAACAAGGGCTTCAACATTTGGTCTGCTGCTAATACCTGAAATTGTCATTTAAAAAACAGGAAGGTAAGTGACTCTTGGCTATAGCTTTCCAAGTCAACATTATGCAAGAGGCATGTATGTAAGGGTACTCAAATGCTTGTCTAAGTCTATCCCAACCATGCAGTTGGTCCAGTTAAAAACATCAGTTACAAAAATGCTCACTTCTTGCAGGTTAATATTAGTGTTTTCTAGCTGTCTTACTGTGATGTAACAGACTCAAGCCATTTATATAGAGCTTTGCAGCTGGCTGTGGTCAAAACTAACAACTGTAACTAATTACTGGCACTTTCCATATTATGTTTTAAACATGTAAAAGTCTGAAGTATGCTTTTAATAAAGACAAGTCCATCAGAATAATGATTATTTACTAATAATGCCATATGTATTATGCTTGCAGTGGGAAGTTCTGAACAAGAGTCATCCAAGTCCTATGCTAACCACTCAGATGGAAAATTTTCAGTAAGTAAAATACAGTAAGAGGAAATACCTTTGTAACATACCTGGAACTGCAGTACTTGTTAATACATTCAGTATCTTTTATGAAGCAGTAATTCTAGAACCTCAGGATTGTATATAAGGATGGGGTGCTCAACCTAATCCCTTTGTGGAGAAGCACCCTCTGTTATGGGATACAATTTCACTTGTGAAATGGAGGGAGGAGTATGGTTGTAGTAAAGCTGAAGCTACTGGCAGGTCAACAGTTGGCCCTCAGAATTTAGAAAATTATTTATCAAAAGGGCAATCAAATCCAAAAGCTATTTTAGGCGTTGATCCCCCAACATTTGCTTACTTGTGCAATCCTTAGTCAAGGGAGTAGCACCACTGAAGAGAACAGGACCACTCACATTATTCAGGATTGTGTGCGTGGTTGAAGGTACAGCGACCAGAGTCTTTGATTTCCTCTTACAGTAATTTCTGGTTCTGGTGGGGTTGTTTGTTTTTTTTTAATAAATGCCTCTTTCTCTCCAAAATAGCTCCAAGTTCGCCGTTCATTAAGGAAACACAGGGAAGTTTGTAATGACCTTTTTTTTGCCTGCAGTTTCCGGCATCCCCAGTTACCCACATCAAAACGAAACAGGCTGTAGTCACAGCATCAGCTACAGATGACAGTGCTTTTGCAGAAGAGTAAGTCCCTTTCTGTACATCCACCCAACCCTTGCAGCTGTGTCTGGGGCTGCAGGGCACTGTCCTGAAAGACAAGTTAGCAGGTGGCCTAGATTGTAAGCCACTCATATATGCATGTGCGTGCACGCGCGCACACACACACACACCAGCTGCAAATTACCTCAGCATTGAAGTAACAAACCTCAACCATCAATATTACATTAATAATTTATTTTCAGAACATTTGCTGGAGGTGCTAGTTTATTGATTATGCTATATTAACATAGGCTATTTAAAGTATTGAACATAATTAATTTTCTTACTTAAATAGGAAATACAAAAGGATGTCTGAGTAATTATTAATAACCCCCTAACTATTGTGTCACCATGATTCCCATTAGTTAAAGCTGAAGTCACTGTACAGAAATACTGGGTCCAATGTAGTTTGATTACACCCTTGATACTTCACTGGAGTCAGCTGTAGAAATTGGCCCAAAGCATTCAGATTGTCCAAAAAAATACAAGAAAATAGAACAATCCACTACTGTAAATTAATCTCTGTCAATGCAGTTAACAAAAGATGAGTTTGGATTACTTCATTTTTACCTGAAGGCAATAACAATAAACCCATATTTGTGAAAATTGTTTTTAGATAGTACCAAAAGGAGTGTATTGTACTTCTCATTCACACTGATTCAGGGCCTCAGCTGGTATAAAATGTGATAGCTCCATTGGCATGAAAGAAGCTTTGCTAATTTATATAATTTTAAGATCTGCACAATCTCTGCCACAGAGATGTTATAATCTAAGAAATTTCTAAAAGCCCCTAAACTAGAGCTCGGCACCAGACACTAGCTTTAATGTAGCTAAAATGAGTAACAAACACTACATTCAAAGCATTCTCAGGACTAGGTCCTAATTACAGACATGACCCAACAGACCTAGTTCTCACATGGATATTCTCTTTGCAACCAAGGGAGACAACTGAAGTTAGTGAACAAGATCAACCTTTTTGCTGTTTGGGAAGAGAAGTGCCCCACAAGGAGTCAGTCTACCCAAAACTTGATTCTGGCCTTGACGCCTAACACAGCTCCTGCCCCCTGGATGCTGCCACTTTGTAAACAAACGGGCAGGATAGGAATGGCAGATTTTGGCTAGGTCTTCACGTGCTGATGAGAATAGTAGTTCATATGAGTGTACATTTCTCCCAGAGCAAGGGAGCTTTGTAGTGTCAGTGTCACTGTTTTTCGTTGTGTTTATCTTTAAAATGACTATCTGGTTCACTCAGCACAGAGTTATTGGCCCATGTTAGAGAGAGATTCAAAATAAAGAAGGGAGGTAACAGCAGAGCTGTATTTGGGAGCAAGCAACCAGAACAATTACCTTTACCTGGCTATGAGAGGCGGGATGGGGAGGAAGAGGGAGGCATAGGATACAACTAGGCTAAGATAGTGCAAATCATCCAGTATGCACATGGGCTGTGAGAGGGTAGGGACCCCAGGCAAAGGCCAGCAGCACTTCTGGGTGGCAGAGGGATCCGTTTGTAATTACATTCTCTCTGCTTTAAGTTGCTTGTAATGTTAAATCAAGATTGTTTAAACACAATGAAATGTAGCAACAGTTGAAGATACAGATAAACATGGAAAGGAACCACAAAGTAAATGCTTTGTGTGTTCTTTATGCTTTAGCAGAGAGATTCAGTTAGTAGTATTAGCCTGAAGTCAAGTAGAACAGATTTGAATGGGAAATTGCAGAAACAGAAATCATCCACAGACTAGACTATATTACGTATGGTTTAAATAGAGACTACAGATTCTCATTCTATTACCTGGATTAGCTTTGGTTAACCCTTGGTTCCCATGGATAAAATGCTAGTTTCTCCCAGCACTGCTCCCTTCCTTCTTTTCTCTCTTCCTACCCCACATCCTGCCCCTTCCCACCCCCACACTTTTATATTCTAATTTCTCTATCCTTTTATAGTCTGCTTTCTGCCCATCCTTTCAAAGCATCTGGTGAAGTGAGCTACAGCTCACAAAAGTTTGTACTGTATATGCATATATAGTATACATCTACCTTGGTTAGTCCACAAGATGCAAATCTACCCTGCCTTCTACTTTATCCTCTAGCTACAGAAGGCACTCAAAGAAGAGCACCGACTATGACTTAGCCTTGACCCCAGGAGCAGAAGCTTCTTTACCTCTGACAGGCAGCAACTTGTGTAGAACACCTGGCATCCTGAGAAAAATGTGGATGAAGCACAAGAAGAAGCCAGAATATCTAGGGGCAACAAACAGTGCCTTTGAAGCAGACTGACAAGCCTCAGCTTTGCTTTTGCAAGAAATTTATTTACCAAGGGCAAAACATGGACACAATACTTACCAAACAATATCTTGGGCCTTTGTCTTACTTGGACAGGAGAAAGGATAATAGTGAGGGAAAAGGTGAATGTGAGCAAATTCAATAGTCAGTATTCGTATTGCAATATTTCTGATGCCAGTCAAATTGTAACAGATTCTACCCTCAATTCTGTAATACAGTTAACATATTCATCACATTTCCTTGCCCTATCTTAAATAACTTCGCTTCATAATGACAAAAGCCTACAAAGAAGTTTGTCTGTCCCACAAGACCTCAACTTCAGTATGCCATTAAAACCCAGTTCTGCTTTCCATTTTGTACTACTACACTGAACTATTCTGTCTTCCTCCCTTGTCATTTTCTCTGAGGTACAAGAGGTAAAAACCAAATCCCCTGGAGGATACACTTTGCTCAGTGCATTGAACCAATACATGTTTATTCTGTTTTGTATTTGAGACAGGATTAGATAAGTGAAAGGATGCAAAACGAATGGGTGGGTTGGTCAGAACTGAACCAAAACTTTGGTGCACAACCAGCAATTGGTTGTTTTAAAATACCATGCCCAGATCACATCATGCCAGCATCTAAAAGTCACTCAGGAGTTATACTGTTTCATAGAACCTGCTCAAATGCTAAATATAAAATTTCAGAGTAATACTATTAATAGCATTGTGGTACAGAGCATTTTGCCAAATGCATGAGTTACTAAGAGACAAGATAAGATGTTGAAACTGTACAACTGGGCTACTAAGTAGGATTTTAAACTCCTGCAGTGAAGCTTGCTCTTAAAAGCTAATCACTTTAATAAGATTTCATCAAAAGGAGAAAAATTGCTGATTTCATATTTCTGGCAGCGTAGGAGCTGCTGATCATATTTCTTCATCTCCCCCCTGAAAAAAAAAGAATATCCCAAAATAAATTGTTTTTAGAAGCAGTACAGGCAACTTTATATTTGATAAGACTGAAAAGATGACAAATGCACATGACGCACATGGAATGTGTCTCCCAGATCTGGCCCTTAATTTGCCAGAATGGACACATTTTGAATTTGTTCTAATGCAGGACTTCAACATGAATTTTCTGACATCCTTTTGCCCCTGTGAACATAACAAATATCTTCAGGAATGATGCAAGGTGCAACTCTCCAAAATGTAAATTAAAAAAGGTGATTGGACTAATCCATTGATTATCTGCATTTTAAAGGAGAGTGGTTCCCATACAGTCAGTGTAATTAAAATGGCTCACCATCACGTGTAAAGCCCCCTCCCCCCACTCCTCATGTTTCAAAATGGCCAGGGGGCACTTTAACTAAAGTTCATTTGACAAGCATTAGTTCAAATGCCCCCATGACCATTTTGAAATGCAAAGGGCTTATAACATGTGATGCTGAGGCAATGCTGGTGCGGTCTAATTAGAATGTGAAGCAGACTCAATTAATCAAGTCTGCTCCAATGTGTTCTAATTAGAATGCTAATGAGCATGTCTATAGGCACCCTTAAAAATTGGAACTCCACAACTGAGAAACTAGAACTTCACAGTGAACCACTGCCATCCAGTGCACTTGGCTCCATATTAATGCTTTATTTGTAGTTGTATCCTTCAGAAAGAGGTGCTGAATTATTCTGGAAAGCTAGGAAAATCATTTTAGTTCAAAATAGCTCAATCTACTGTCTTTCGCTTCCTTACCAAGTACATAATCATTCCCTAGTCCAGGATCTATACACAGACTCAGTCCAGAAAGGCAGATCACTACATGAGAGAGGAGAATTGAAAGCAGCTGCATGTGTCACAAAGACCCAGCCTCTGCTGTTCCCCCACTCCTCCCTACACATGCATGGGGTGGGGGGGGCTGAGGGGGGAAGATAGTGGTCAGATGTTGAAGGGTAGTTTGCCAGTTAATGAAGTGGCAGAGAGACTTTCACAGTTTATGCTATAAACACTCTATATGTTGGGGAGGTTGTAGGAGTGGCCCTACCTGCCTCTGAAGGTGCGCACAGAAGTTACATTTTCACATGATGAGGCCCCAGAAAGTTCTCTGTAGCCACAACACAAAGTGTTCACAGCTGCAGAGCACTTTTAAAATGGCCAAATCACATGAAAATGTAACCCTCATCTGCTGTAGTATCAGGCAGGGGTGCTACAGGGCAGAGCACCTTAGGGAACCTCTGTACAGGTTCCCTGCGAGGGTTAATTTTGGGCGATGCCACCCACATCCTATGCAGTTTTGTGGGACTGGGCTAGTCCGCATGAGGGCAAACACAGACCCAGCCCCACCCCCACCCCCAGGCTGTCAAAGAGGAGACAGAAAACCTGTTTCCTCCCTGTGCAGCCAGATAAAGTGAAAAGAAGGGAGCCCCACTGCTGCATGAGCCTCCCACCAACTACCCCTGCTGGGGTCCTGGGGGGAACTGGGCTGGGCCCACATGGCAGGGGGTCTCCCTTTCCCCAACTCCCTACTTCCCACACAAGCATTTTGACAGCAGCAGAGACTGCCTCACCCAGAGCTGGGGGGAAAACAAACTTCGTGGCCCATCTTAGCACCCCCCAAGACTCCAGCATAGACAGCTAGGGAAGCACACAAGGTGAAGGGGGAGGGGGCTCCATTTCCCCCCGCCGCAGTTCTGGGTGCAACAGCCTCTGCTACTGTCAAGATATTCACGTGGAGGGTGGGGAGAAGGAAGGGAGCCCCCCCTGCCATGTGGGCCTGGCTCAGCTGCTCCCCAGAGCCTAGTAGGGACAGTTGTGGGGGGAAGGGAAGAGAAGGCATGCAGTGGGGGGCTCCATCTCCCCCCTCCCTCTAGCTGCTGCTGACAGTTGCAGCTGGCTGGGGTTGGGGCTGGGGAAAGGGGTGGTCTGGCAGCCTCCTGGGAACATGGCTAAAGCACCTCCCCAACAGGCTGCCTAGACTTCTGTACAGACCCTGAGACATACTGCCATTACATGGAGCAGAAGAGAGGAGAATTATGTTGGAGGAGGTCTGTGGCTTTTCAGGGAACAGCAAATATGTCAATAGCTGAGGAAAGCTGAGTTCAATCACGTCTTCATATCTTCAACAGTTCGAGGGGGTTAATAGCACTTTGCAGAAAATTTGTTGACAAACAAAGGTTTGTTTGTTTGTTTGTTTTTACAAAGGCTCTTTCACTCTGCAATATACCTGACACACATTTAGTGCTCCATGGATAACCCGTATAATCCTAGGGCAATTAACCCATCAGAAATCCATCATCTTGGACAACAGCAAGTTGCAGTCAGAATGAAGGATGATGGAGACCAGCCAGGAAAGGGAAGATGGGAGCAAATTACTATTTTAACACAGGGTTTGATGCTGGAAGGGAATGAGCACCAGCAACTTCTACTGACATCTACGAGTGCGAAGGGTGCCCAGCGCTTTACAAGATCAGATCCTTAATGTTTGCATTAACACTTAGTAGTAAAAAAATGAAAGAGAAACAAATATACTTTGCCCCTGAAACACACCAAATTCCAACTACTTCCCAAGTTTTTCATGAGGCATTAGTAGCTCTTGAATGATGCATCACACCCACCCCACAGACAAAAGCTTTATCATAGGCCCCCATCCGTGAATAATCCTACTTCAGTGAGACTACTTACCTGCATAAAAGTAAGGACCAGGGCTATAAAGTCCATCAGCTCCAGTTTGATCTAGTTTCTTTGGATTGGTCCAAACAGAAAATGGAAATCCTACATTGGAAAACATAGACCTAATAAGACTTATGGAGACAGAAAAGATCAACATGTGTGCTGTTCCTGCTTTCAACCTCTATTAACCAAATCAATCTATTCTTCTTCCATAAATTAGTCCTCAGGTCAAAGCACATATATTTGTTTCTGTTGAAAGGTCTGTTTGTTTATCATCTTGGTAAATAATCTATTTAAGCAGTGCGGGGATGGGAGTAAAGAACAGATGATATGTGATTGTATTCAACAGCCACTGTGCCCTAAATGTGTACCCTGAATTGTTTTCTCATAATTTATTTAATTTATAACTCAGAGCAACATGACAATGGAATCACTTAATGTGAATTTCAGAAGTTGCTGTCAAGATTTTTTCTGTATTGTGGCAACTATGCATTTTGTTGATTCATATGAAATAAAACGAAATAGGTAGCAAATGGCTGAACATGGTCTTAGTGACTGAAAGAGAAGACTCCAGAAGTACAGGAAACTCTCACTATTTGTGGTTTCAAATATTCACAAATGCCAAACCTGCATATTAAATACACTTAAAAGAGCTCCCAACATAGTTGCCTCTGTGCCCCCCGCCCAGCCACTGGGGGCACTGCATTCATGAACGCAGACAACATTCATGAACACAGTGTCTTATTCACAGATTTAGGAGAACGTATCCCCCGCAAATAGCAAGGGTCTCCTGTATTTAACAAAAAATAAAAGCAGCACCTAACAACAAGGGAATTAACATTTTCTTTCCTTTCTAGGAATGTTGGCTCTGGATTTAGGACCCAGATGCCTTGTTCCAGTCCCACCCTCAGACTGACAACAACCTTTCTATTCAATAATAGGCAAATTCATTGATACACAGCAATAACAGAAAAGAAGCAATACAAACAATCAAGCAGTTCTATATATCTCCCAATTCTAGGGCTGTCATCAGAGTCAAGAAATGTCTGGCCAAGACATAGGCTTCAGTTTGAGGCTCTCTCTTAGGTGTCAGATGTCAGCAGCCTGGAGGTCGAATACCAAGGCCTACATCCCCCCCTCCAGTGGGGTGGATGAGACAGGCTGGTAGTGCCCTCTGCCCGTGGTGGCCTTGAGGACCCCTCCTGGGGGACAGGAACCTCTCTCAGGGACCCTCTGAGGGAGGAGGACAAGGAAGGACCCAGGCAGGAGGATGAGGACAGGGAGGGACACTTTGCTGCTCCAAAGTCCTTCTTTTGTATTCTCCTTCCCTCCTGATGACTCTCCATCTCTGGCTGTTGCTGACTGGTCTCTCTCTGTGGTTGTCATACTGTCCATGTCCTCTTCCATCAGCATATTCCAAGACCATCACATGCACACTCTTACCAAAACAGGAATTTTAGGCCCCCCTCTTTGGCCTTGCAAGCTGATGCTACTTCATCTCATGTTATAGAACAGTGTAGTAAATGCCCCCACTTTCCCAGCCTATGTGTATCCGATGGCCTTGTTGTGTTAAGACAAGCTTGTCTGCTTCTAAAGGCTGAAGTAACTGTGTGTGTGACCCAGGCTTAAAAAATGGAATAACCCCTGCTGCCCACCCTGACCCATTCTAATGCATATCTATCTATCTATCTATCTAGATAGATAGATAGATATATTGCCCACCCACAATGCATATGCATTAGAATGGTTCAGAGTGGGCAGCAGGGGTTAGTTGTGTGTATGCACATTAGAATGGTTATATACATACATATACACACACAACTATAAGTCAATTCCCAAAAAGGAAACCTTTAAATACCATTTTGAAACCATCAGGAAAAAGTCTGGATTTGATCTTTTAGGAGTCTGGATTCGACCTGTGAACAACAGCAGTATTAGTACTTTTAGTTATAGAAAGTAATCTTTTATTATTAGACAAGAAGTGTTAGATGGAAGGTACTAAAGAGATGGAAAATCAGATATAAAACAACATTTAAAAAAAACTGGCACTAAATATATAAGCTATTAACAGCCTTTTACTTACCTACAGATGAGGAAAAGCAAGACAGATATTCCCCAAAGTCCTAAAAAGCTTGTGGCAGAGATGGTTATAGAATCCAGGTCTTCTCGCACCTAGCTGTTTGGCTGAAGGACAAAAGCACAGTATAAACACACTGTGCTTTAAGCTGTAGCACTTGTACTGAACCACAAAATAAGGTGTGTCCCTGATTCTGGAATTTAAATCTAGCAGCATTCCACAAATAAATGAGGTCCACATCACGATAGATCTGACATCTTAAAGAAATAACAGAAAATTAAAATCTTGTGTGGGTATTATCTAAACAATGTGGAGTTCTGGAATACTATAGAGTTCAACTCAGAATGACATGTCTTGTCTTTCCAATTCCCTTCATCCCATGTAGCTCATGTTCAAAGATTTGCAAAGCCCAAGGACAGTTTGCCAGTGTGGGTGGTACCTGAATTAAAATGGCTGGAGTTTGAATATTCTTTGGATGAATCATTCATGCCAAAAGTTTCCAGTTTTTCAGGATAATAAAAATGTCATCCTTGTTAGGGATTCAGCTGAATACACCGTGTTCACTAAAAATATTAACCTGCATATATCAGCATGCAGGTTTCCAATATGTCTTACAACATGCAAAAAAAATGTTGCAATTCAGCCAACTAAGCTTCTGTATATGAAATGTATGGATGTTTTGTCCAGCAATTGACCCCAAATTAGCTGTAGTTTTTAATTTGCAGGTAATCATTGCCTATGTTTTGTCACTGCTTCAGAATACTTAATTTTGAAAATGAGCTATTCCTTTATAAAAATAGTCGTGATTTATTTAGATATCACTTCTGAAATGAGATACATTATGGGAAAAGCTGGGCTGAAACATCATATCATTTTTTCCCTGTGAAGATTTGCTTGATTGAAACCATAAATTTGTTTTTCCTGCTTTTTATTCTCATTTACGTTTGCTTTAAAAAGGCCCTAACAAATAAGTTTGCTGGCAGGAGTGTTCACAGAAACAATCTGGTTGTAGGAAGTGGAGAATATTTTCAGAAAGTGAGTTTTGCACTTCAATACAAGAATGTACATAATGAATTGCTCTAACTTCTAAGAAACTCCTAATCAGAAAACTGACACAATATCATCTGACCTGTGTATGTAGAAAAAACA